GAAGATCGCATATTTACCAAACCATATAGCAAACTAAAATTTAACTTGCAAAATTTTGCCAGTTAAATTTGTCAGCAAAATTGTCCATTTCAAAATTTAGTTTAACAAACAACGTGTAAACAACAATTATATTTTAAATATACGCTCTCCTTTTCGCAATGTTTATATTTTTTTGGATAAACAAGGAACTACGTTTATCATTAACTATGTGCTTTATATATATATATATATATATATATATATATATATATATATATATATATATATATATATATATATATATATATATATATATATATATATATATATATATATATATATATATATATATATATATATATACATATGTATATACACAGATTTGTAATACCAAAACTAAATATACATCAGATCATTACTTTAGTTGAAAAGAGTTTGGAGTAAAATGTAAAAATTTAAACTTTTTGAACACTCATGTTTATATTTACTTCATAAAACAACAAGTCCAAGTCATAGTTATCTAACTAAGCACAATTAAATACTATTTGCAACTAATTCTTTTCAATGAGGTTTACCATATCTTTTTTACTAGAATTATTTTTTTTATATTTATATTTTTATATTTATTTTATTTATTTCGTCATTAAATGAATAATCTTTTACAATGTTTTTTTACAACATAAAAATTATAACATTAAAGTTTCGACCGGAGCTGGCAGAAGATATGATCTTATCATCCAGCCCCGTTAATATAACTAAAAAATTCAGCCGATAAAAATGAAAAAGGAAAAAAGAAACTAAAGCAAGAACTGATTTTAAGAAGAAAAGAACTTAAAAATCAAATTATTATTTACAGAAAGAAAAAAAAAAAAAAAAAAAAATTAATTATTTCTTCTCATTTATACTATTATTTTTTTTTTTTAATTCTCTATTTTATTCGACTTTTATTTTTATTATACACGCACGCTCACACACATACGCACACATACACACACATACACACACACATACGCACACGTACACACAAATATATGTCCGTTCATATATACATACAAATCAAATAAATCTGTATTACATTCCATCTACAAATTGCGTAAGATATAATAAATATTGCATTTACAAATTACGTATTGTAAAGTAAAATAATATCATACACGTTCTAAGTACCATACAATATAATTGTGATGTTGAGTCAATTTATAAGACATTAAATAACTAAGATTACCAAAAGTTTTTAATAATACGATAGTAATTGCTTTGTGTCAAAACCAAATAAGTGTTGTTTTGTTGCACGTTTAAAATGTTGAGTTGAATTTAAAGTTTTTATATTGTTTGTTAAAAGCAAGTTCCATAACCGCGGCCCTCGACAAGATATCGAAAAATCAGCTTATTTCTATATATTTATAATCAATTATTTGACATAAGTTCTCTGCTAGCTATTTGACCTTGAATGTAAGTATTTCTTCTGGCCTGACCAAAAACATGACAAGCACTTTCAGTTGTCATTTTTACACATCTTTCAACAGATTGTGTATGAGAGGGCCACTTTTTTACTTTCATTGGAGTGTTAATAAATTCCTTCACTGCTTCAGTTGATAGATTACATGTTAAAGGTGGTTCAGTAATATCACTCCAGTCTATAAGTTCAGACAAACAAGTTGCTTTCATGATGATGGAAGGAGTCTTTCGAATCCTAAAAGATTTATCTCCAAATTGAAGTGCATCATTCCCAGCTCCTCTTAATTCAACTATTTTATTAACTGCTTCTTTTCTCTCATCTTCAATTTGACTACAGAGCATACTTTGCAAAACTGATTCAGGGTGAGCATACCATGCTGATCGTTTGAAAGTGGGTAATACAATGTCAATTACCTCCTGAGTTTGATTTTTTAATAATTGCATCTGTTTAAGTAAGTTTATTGGTCCTTCCACCCAGCATGAATTTACTTTGATGTTAAACCAGTTAGGAACATACACACCTACTATGTACTCAACAATCATTCTCAACCTATTTAAAAGGTCACCTGTTAATCCATGTTTTGACACCCAGATTCTGCAAAATCTTAAAGCAGTAGTTAGCCATCTACTATGACAAACAGGACCAATTTCTAGTAATGCCAGTCTCTTAGGCAGAACTCCAGTTTTAAGAGATGTCACAATTTGGTATGCATAGCTCTGATCGGTGCTTAGATCTTTGATAATGTCAGGACTGAGGTAGATAAGTGGAGAGCCTTCACACACTTTTGAAAATTCTGGGTTAATTTCAAGGTTGGTAGCATCGTTCAACATCTTACCCAGAGGTCCTGACCAATGATTGCTGGCTTTAGTAGGACCATCAGGAAACTTAATAAGACTTCTTAACCCTAGTTCCCCAGTGTGCAGGTCACATACAATCCATACAAGTTTTTTATTAAGTTTTTTTTCAACCCATTGTATTACTCCTCCTGCCCATCCAGTATTTACATTAGTACTATCACAACCTATGGCTTCCAATGTCAAATGTAAACATCTTTCTTTAAGCCATTCAATTAAATGATCGGCAATTATCTCAGCAGGTCTTTTAAAATCAGATTCTTCAGGAACAAAATGGAATAGATAATTTCCACCAGGTTCACTGCACACAGTATAATGTTCTTCTTTTATTAGACCTGGGAATTTTCTGCCTTCAACATCAAAAAAAATTTTAGTGTCATCTTTTCTACCATCAAAAAAAATACAACTCAAACCATTATTGTTTAGTTCCTTATGGAATTTTGAGGTCAGTTCTTTTCCAATTTTTTCTTGAGCTCGTTTAACTTTGTTATGGTCGATAATTAAGCAAGTGTTTCCTTCAGTGATAATTTTAGCATCAATAAGGGCAGCAGTTGCTATTTACGCAGTTTCTTTTAAACCTGTATGATGCCTTAAGCTTGCTAATGCTATATTTTTTATATTCATGGTGTTATACAATTGATTTTTTTCTTTTACTTTTTTTGAAATATTCATTTTTATTTTATCATTTGTCTCTTCACAGACTTCATCTGAGTCACTCTCGGGAAAGAAAAAATCATTTTCTTGATTTACAATCTCCTGGTCTAGTTTTGATTTTTTTGTTTGTGAAACCTGATTTTGTATTGTATGTCGTTTAATTTTTTTACTTTGTTTCTGAGTTTCAATACGATCAATGCCAGCTATTTGAAGGATAGCTTTGGTTCCAACTTTTTCTCTTTGATGTCTTACAAAGTTCAACTCAAGAAGAGGAATTTTTTGTTCTTTTTTACAAGTACATACAATGTGAGCTTTTCTGTCACAATTTTCTAAGAAAAAAAATATTTTACAATTGCATGTAAACAAATTAAAAAGTTTATCAAGTTTTTCCATAAATTTATTTCTAATTGGTGTGGCTACATTGCTATTACTAACTTTAACGGCCAATAACCACAAGTCTTTTACTTTACTTTTAATTCTTCTTTCAGAATTAATAACTGGACTTACAAATTGAGAATTGGCTTTTTTCCACTGTAACAAAATTTTTGGAAGAATATCCTTTACAAGCTGATCAACAGTATAGTTTCTGTAATCTTTTTCACTAATCTCTCTTAAATATAAGCCATATTTGAGAATATCTCTGGAAGTTGGGAGTTCTGATGGAAGAAACTCTGAACTTTTTCCAATTAAGTTACTAAGCTGACAAGCTGATTTACTTCTTGTTTTAGTGATATATGACATCTTTATATCAATTTAAAAAAAAAAGGATTCCAAAAATTGTTTATGCTCTTTATTTTATTTTACTTCAACTACTAATATAAGAATAAGTCAGATGCGTATTACTAATATAATATAATATAATATAATATATATATATATATATATATATATATATATATATATATATATATATACATACATACATATATATATATATATATATATATATATATATATATACATACATATATATATATATACACACATCCATGCATACATTTATATAGTTAAGGTTTTTGAAAGGCATTAAAATTTAATAACAAAGCATTATAAATTGTAGATTTTTCAACTTGTAAAACAAACGGTTAATAATAAAATTTTTTATTACATCCAAAAAAGTGTCAACACTGCAAAAAGGAGAGTGTATTTTTAAAATATAACTGTTGTTTACACGTTGTTTATTAAACTAAATTTTGAAATGGAGTATTTTTCGGACAAAGTTAAATTTTAGTTTGCTATATGGTTTGGTAAATATGCGATCTTCTTCGGAGATTACGGCAAACTTCAGTTTTTAGAATAAAAAACTAAGTCCAAAAAAATAAAAGTTTGAGGGTGATAAAAAGTAGCTTAAAATACTTTTTTTTTCAAAAAAAAATTATTTTCATGTTTTGCATAAGGATTTACAAAAAAAAAAATACTAGCCATCATAAAATTTTGAAAAAAAGTGAAAATCGACACACCCTACTGCTCAATTGAAAAAGGGGACATGTCCTGCAAAAATTCACATAACACACCTCTTTTTTTTCATTTTGAAAGATTTTATTTGAATCGCTAACTTTTTCAAGTTGGCGGATTCAAGAAAACAAAGATTTAAAGGATGATGCAATTTTTTATCATTAAAATAATTTTTTTTTAATAGCATATGTGATGCCCCATAGACTGTGATTGGGTCAAACTACTTTAATTGCCCCTTCCTTTTGGTCCTCAAACAGCTACCATCTTTAGTCGCGGAGATTAATCTTCTTTATTAATTTCTGCGTTAGTTTCACTTGTAAAATTAGCAGCTTCCATACCAAATCCAGGTTCTGGAGAAACTTCCATACCAAGTCCAGGTTCTGGACTTGGTATTCATTTTAATTTGATTAATTTCAGCACCGACAAAAAATACACAATTAAACCGTTCGGATGATGACACCGAAGATAAAGGCAAAATGATAGGACCAGCATGGTCCTGTATTATTAAAACTGTAGAATTTTAATTCTTTTGACAAAATAGTCATTTAAAGAGCTTGTCCTTCTTACCCTGGTCAATGTAGCTAATAAAAATAATTTCATTTAAAATAGTAAAATCAGTTGTAATTTATTTAAAATAGTATTTAACACACTTTTGTTTTCTAAATAAGAAACTAATTCATGAGAAATTCATTCAGGAGGGGGTAGTTACCCCCTTTGTACCCGCCACCGTGTTGACCGCATCTTCGTACACCTATAAGAGATAGTATATAATAGATATATCTACAATATAAATAAAGTACGAGTATATTTAATAAATAAAGTATGAGCATATTTAAAAATTCAAAACACCTATAATATAAATTTAATAATACAAAAAATAGAAAAACAAAAAGTGTAAAACTTCTTAAATAATTGCTAATTAACGAAAAAATTTAAAACTTCTTAAATAACTGCTAATTAACGAAACAAGCTTAAAAAGGTGCTGGAAATCCGCAAAGATAAAAAAAATTGGTTTGTCAAAATTAACTTATTTAAAAATTATAAATTATTAAATATGTTATATAATAGACTATAAGTTTTCATGATAGAATAAAATATCAAGTGCTTGCCATGCGCTCAGCTACTCCTATTTTGTTACTAAAATCATGCAGATTAAAAACGCTAGAAAGCTCCAAAATTATGCCTGAAAAAAATATCTTTTTAAAAACGATCTTAGTACTTATGTTTGCAAATGTTTAAAAAAATCACTAGTAGAAAAAAAAAAAATTCATAAAGTTTTATGAATTTTCTATAATTTTAATTAAAAATTTAGAAACGCAATGACTTTTCATTTATTGTGATATGATTTTAAATCATGTAGCCACCCTGCAGATGCTGGGTGATATACATGATTTAAAATCATATCACAATAAAGTTTGGAACACATACACTCGTTTTTGTGAGATGCTAAAGCATATATCATAGGCAATAGATACCTTTTGAATTCCATTGCGAATTAATTCCCACCCCCTTGTACTTAGTACTCAAGAGTATTATTAAATAAAACCATCAGGCCTCGGCGGGAGTAATTAAGTGCAGAAAAGTGGAGTAATTGGGTGGCGGAAATAATTAAGTGGAGAAAAGCTTTCCTAAAACGAACATGGCGAGCTGCTCCTCTAAACAGCTTCTTACTAGAGCTTTTGGTTTTTGCAGGATCTGCTTAATTATTAAAAATGATTGCTTACTAAATTATAAATTGGATTTTACAAGCGTATGTTTATAACGTTAATGTTACAAGAATATATACATACAATTGTTATTTATTGCGCCATAAAAATTCGTTTTCTTTGGGTTTTCACACTAGCTATCCATTTAATTATTCAAAACATTTGATAAAATTTTCACAATTTATAGAAGTTTTTACTGCTTATAAAAAATGTTTTAAATTTTCGTAATGAAATAGAATGCAGGCATTTTATGAATTATTACAACAATTAAAAATTCTACAGTGAATAATATATTAAAGTAATTAATATACAAAATATATAATTCATTACATAAAATAAATATTATTATGCAACAATTTAGAGTGTATTAGTTTTATTTTTTATCAGTTAAACAATTTTATATTTTATCAATATGATTTAGAGTGTAATAAAATTATATATCAAATAGTCTAATCTAATCAAAAACATTTGCATTTAAACTTTGTAATTTTTTTTTTTTTTTTTTCAACATTTGTGACTTTTAAAAAACCAGTTTATTATGCTTTTAATTTTTTTTTTAATTTTATAAAAATGACTTCGTACTTTTCCTTTTAGCTACAACATGGAAGTATAAAATAGGTGGAATCAAGCCGGGAACACCAAAGCAATTTCAAGTCGTCTTGGGAATATGCTTGTAACCGAAAAAAAAAAAAAAAAAAAACAAGATTCACTGGACAAAAAACAACAAAATTCACTGAAATGATTTTTAAGCATCAAAAAATAAATTATTCTAGGGATATGCTGCAAAGTTTTAACCATTAATATTTAAAGTTTTGTCGTTTTACACATTTTACAATGTTATCTTTAAATTCGAATAAATATATATATAATTACAAGCTGACAGGGGCAAGTAGAAGACATAAAGTCTTATCATCAAGCCCTTTTGTGAAATAGAGAAATATAAAATTTCTAAAATTCCAATAATATAAAAAAGAGTTAAATTAAAAATTTTGAAAAAATAAACAAACATTCAAACAAAATTAAAATAAAAATAAAAAAAATTTAAAGAGTTTGAAATAAAGTAAAAAGATTGAAAAAAATTAAAAAGTTTAAAATAAATTAAAAATTAAAAAAAGTAAAAATTAGAAAGAAAAAAAAAATAATAATAATAATAATAATAAAATCTCGAAATAAAAAAATAAAAATGTATACAATGCGTAAATTAAAAAGTTTGAATTTTTTTTTACAAATCAGTACATATACGTATACATATTCAATACAAAGCGAAGTATATATTCAAAAATATTTATATATTAAAAAGATTCCAAACGTTATGTAGATTTAAATTCATTTGTTAGTATTTATTAAAAAAAGTTAAAAAAAAAACAGTCAAAGAGAAAATCAAACAAGAAAGATATATATGTATATATATATAAAAAAAAAAAAAAAAAAAAAAAAAAAAAAAAAAAAAAAAAAAAAAAAAAAAAAAGCTTTTTATCAAATTTATCAAAAAAATATTATTTTTAAAAAAATGAAAGAATGTATGTAATGTTTGAGTTTAGTAAGTGTTTTTTTATAGTTCTTTTGAATATATCAATAGATTTTATTTTTTTCATATTTTCGTCAAGAACTGACTTCCACAAGCGTGGCCCCCGACATGTAATTGAGAAGTCAGATTTTTTGAGTGATGTTGGTGGGATGTAGTAATTATTTATTGAGTGTCTTGTAACCTTTTGCTGAATTAGTAATTCAGCAAAAGGTTTATTAAAACGCAGTAATTAAATAGAACCTCTTGATTTTCATGTTAGTTTAAGCTTCTTTTCTTACTTCAATTCATAATACACTTGATTAAAAAGACAACTAAAACAATTTTTTAAAAATCAAAAAAAAAAATTTCTAAATAACTAAAGTTTAAAGTTTTATTAACTGTATATCCTAATTCCATTCATTCTTGTAGTACTCCATTCATTAAATATGAAGTTTATAAAAAAGTTGTAGTTTGCCGTTTTGTTGCACCATTTTCCATGTTTTTCTTAAAAATTATTGGCGAACCTCAAAATACTATATTTTAAATTATTATAAACGTACCTATTTGCGTCAACGTATTAAGCGTTTAAGTACAGTCTTGATGTAGTTTTCTCATTGTTTACGAAACAAAAGGTTACAAGCATAGTCCTGAAGAATTTCAATGCAGTTGAACTTCCATCTGTTTCATACTTCCATAGTTACAATGATTAATTATACTTTTGAGAGAAAAATGGAACTTATGGGAGAGCCGTAAAGTGCTCCTGTTAACAATTTTAGGGGAGTGTGGGCAGAGACTAGAGCTACATCTCTCGCTTCTTGCCAAGGCCTGAACCATGGTAGTTGACTAACTAGTCAGCTTATTAATGAACCAGTAAGTAATCAGGCGATATTGACAAGAAATCAAACAGTAAAAGAATTATGTCAAGTACACGAAGCCACCAGGGATGATAAACTTAACCTAACTTTTGTTGAATGTTTAATTACTTTATTAAGCAAATCTGTATTTACTGCAATAATGTAACTTTAAAATAAAAACTTCATTTAAATTAAACTCCAAAAAACACCAAGTGTCACATATTATAAATAGTTTTTAGCATTTGAACATTAATTGGCCAAGTAGATTATATGAGAAGTGTCACTACATTAATTATATGAGAAGTGTCATTACATTAATTATAAGGGTTTTGAATTTTTGAGCAGCATAGTTTTTTCATTATTCTTTGTAATTTTTTCTTTTTATGAAAAAAAAACAAAAAAAAAAACCGATATGGATTATATAAACACAACAGATTTTTTATTTTGTAAGGTCAGATTTTACTTTTTTAGTTATATTTTTGTAGCATTTTAGTTATATAACTGGTTATATTTTTGTAGCATCTGACTTCAGTCAAAAAACTTGGTCTACATTGTTACTGTTACCAAGTAATGATGCTGTAAAAAATATTATGGTTATTAAGTTACAACTCCTAAATTTCGGCCCCAGCACTTTGGCAAATTTTTTTTATAAAATTTATTATAATAAAATTTTTTATATAAAGTATGTTAACTATTTTAGTATTAAAATCAATAGATTTTATTTTAATTTACTTTATGTATTTATATTTAAATAATTTTACTTATGACACATAGAGATAATACTTCATATAACTTGCCAAATAAACTTATGTTGAGGATTTCAAACACTAAAATTATTAAAAAAAAAAATCAAAATATTTAATTGTAAATTAAATGTCAAATACCTTATCACTAAAAGAATGCTGCTTGAGTCATATTGCACCTTCTCAATGACGTAAGTAGTATATAGTGAATTTATACGAGCTATAAAGGAAACGGATAGTTATATAAAAATAGAGTTTTGATTTGTCAGTGAACTTAATTCAAAACATTAATAAATTCTTACATCAAAATAACCAAGTTTATTCATTGAATGAATTTTTATTCAGAATTCTAAAAGTAAAAAAAGTTAAATGAATACAAGATAATATGCTGTTAAAGATTCGCTATTTAATTAGTAAGTCAACCCTCGAAATTAGGAAAAATAAGGTCAGTAATAAATTGCCTAGCAAAAAATTGCTCAAACTGTTAGAGGTCAGCGAATTTGACACAAAAAGGTTACCATAAAACATAGAAACAGTGTTGGCAATTTTTTGCCAGTCTCAAACACTTTTAGATCGACATTGCCAAATGCCGACCCATAATTCCGAGGGTTGGTGATTATAGATGAAATTAACTTTCTGCACATCAGTATGTATGATCTCTGTATTGTCACAGTAACCAGCTTCGACTAACATGTTTTTACCATTTGTGTAAACCGACCCATCAATCAAGGCTAATTTCTTTATAAAAGCTAAAAAAAACAATTGCACTAATATTCTAGAACTTTGACTGAAGTGTTAATTTTTTGTTTATGTCTACGGTGTTTCACATTGCCTAGTTACTAGTTATGTGATGCAATCTTTATTATTGGCCAAGTTTGTACACAAACAAATTAAAATGTTTTTTTTTTTAAATAAATGTATAAACATAAAATGCAGATAAATTAAATCACATATATTAATAAATGAATTTCAAATAGTATTCTCCAAATAAACTGCATTAAATTTACATTTAATATATACTTTTTTATTTGGATCTTTTCATATATTACTCTACTGACTTCTGGCTGGATAAAATATTTCAAACCTAAACTTGGTCTTTCTCTTTTAATACAACTCACTGATTACAAGTATCAACACTTCTTTAGTGTTCTTAGTTCAGCTCTCATGATGGTAGCCAACAAAAAATTGTAATTAAGAACTTACCTTCTTGCTTAGTTAATCTGATATTTCTTTCTAATTTTTCTCTCTCAAACTTAGCAGTTTCCAATAATTTTAACAGTTGAATTCTAAATTGACAATCTAACATTGTAGAACAATAGCTTTCCATAGTTACAGTGTAAGCATATTATGAATCATCTGAAATAAAAGCAAAACATCGAATGGATGCTAAAAAACCAATTTTGATCAATTCAAAATCTCAATGCATTAAAAATCAAGTTCCAAATATCCTTTCTCAAGTTGTTGCATTTTCTATAATACAAAACTTCAATCTGTTGTTTTTTTCCTGAAAAATTAATTTGACTTTAAGTAAAAAGATTTCACAGTAGAATCAAAAATCTGGCATTCATCTGCTGCTCTTTTAAATGAAAAAAAAAATACATTTAAAAATCTTTTTTTAAATAAACTCAATTGCTTATCATTTTATATGAAAAAAATCATATTCAAAATATCAAAACTTATGTTGAAAATGAAGCAGCCATCTTGCAATGAAAAAACAAAAAAAAATCTAATGTTATAATAAACTGCAAAGTATCTCCTTCAGTTTGATTTACATGCCATTTATACATGGCCATTAATTGAAGAAAAAATCAAACACTTACTTGATACATCAGACAACTCAGCAATATAACTTAATAGTTTCCAATACCAACAAATTCCAAGCTATTTCATAAATCTGTGCTCATCTCATTACATGTTTGTCATTACTTAACACTACTTTTTAACTTTTTAAGTGATGAAATCTTTTTATTCTTCTTTTTATAATCTATTTATTCTTCTTTTTATATACTTTCAAAAATTTATGAATCCAATTCTATTATCATTCTCTTTAACTAAGGAAAAAAAGTTTTCACTTTAAAATAAAAACTGAAAAGAAGCATCTTCTTTCAGTGTTCACTTACCTTCTTCTCAAGAACTTCTTCACTTTGTTACAAATTACAAGTTATAAAAATGGTGACTTAGTTTAATTAGTTCTCTCTTTCCTAAAACTTACCTTTCCAAAATAAATATTCTCATTGAAGTTTATTCTCTACTATTCAAGTTGGTAAATTACTAAAAATTACTTTTTAAAAAAAACTTTTATAAAGAAAGTTTTTAGCAAATAGGAAAAGTTTCCTAAAATTACATACAGAAAACTATTCCAACTTTGAGACAATCTGACAATTTTAATCAATCACAATTCTGTTATATAAAACTCAAAGTTTCTTTCTTTTCTTTTAATACAAATTCACAATACATTGGTGATTTAATATCAGTTTTTCTTCTTAGTTTCTGCTTAAATCTCTGAACTATAATCAAATTAAAGAAAAAAAAACAAAAAAACAAAAAACTTTTTTTTTTAATTCAAAGTCTTATTGAAAAACTTTTTTTTTAATTTCTTTTAACTAAAAATGCTTCTTCTTTTTTTCTCTCCGCAAAAGAATAATACAAATAGAAGATATTTTTACTTTTATGTTAAAATCCAGTTCTCTCCAACAATAAACAAATTAAAATAAAATCATTTAAAATACTGCCATGTTTTTTCTTACTTTTCAATTATAAAAAGAATAATTCAACTTTTCTTCTTCCAAGATTTTTTCTATTTAAAGCTTGAACTGCATCTCTTGCATCTCTACTCCCGCGAAATGAAATAATAGCATCACCTGAGCATCTTCCATCTTCTAAGTAATGTATTCTTACTGAGTCTGCTATTACTGGAAAATTTCTGAAAAACTGTAATATTTCGTCTGGAGTTACTTCATAGGGCAGATTTCTTATTCCTACTGCTCTTCCCATTTTAATGTCATTTACATCAATGTTTGCACTGCTAGCTACTCGACCAATTATTGGATCACTCCTTCTTCTCCGTCTTTCAGGGAGACCACCTCGAAAAGATCTTCCCATATCAGGAACATCAGAGGGTGGTACCATTGGAAAGGCAGATCCAGCAAGACTATTTACAGTAGCAGTTAATAAAGTCAATAGCGCTTGTACTTGAGGATTTGAATTAGCAGCAGCTAAATTTGAAATATCTGGAACTATATTTCCTGGTGGTGGTAGAGGCCTATTTAAAGAATGCATTTGGTTCTCTTCAATAGCAGAAATAATTTCCTCTTTTCGTGCTCTTTGAACAACAGCATTTCTTTGGCCGAACCTTTTACCATCACATTTGAGTACTTCTCTGGCATCACTTTCAGAAAAAAATTCAACAACAGCATTGCCATTAGGTTTACCAATATACTTTCCAACTTTATTTCTGATTAAAAAAATATCTCTTGTGAGTACTGGTCTGAAGAAATCCTGTATGTCAACCTCAGTTGCATTGTATGGAAGTTCACCTATAAAAACAAACTTTCTTTCATTTATTTTATCAAAATTGTCATAATTGTTTTTGCCTCTATCTCCATTTCGACTCTCAGATCGTCTATGATCTGCAGGTTGATCCCTACGATCATTATGGCCAAAGTTTTTTAAAAACAAGTCTCTGGTACTTTGATCTGTTCTAAGTGGAGATCGTGATCTACCTCGTCGTGGGCTGTCCCGACTGCCTCTTCTATTCATAAATCGATCTTCATTACTTAATTTACTTAAACTGTCCCTACTCTGCTCACGAATTGAACCTTCACCAAAGGGTGCTGAAGAATTAAAGCCACTTGGCTCTCTACCTCTTGAGAAACCCGATTTTCGTTTTCCTGAACCTCCCCTTCTTCTTTCACTTCCTCTAATATAGGAAAACATAGGCACTCCAGGAAAATACTTATTAAATTCAGCTGGATTGCTTTCATTTACAGCCAATCTTTTATCCTTGAGTAAGGAGTCATTAGCATTTAAACCATGAGCAGCATCACCTTGATTAGTAAATGTAAGAAAAGCAGACCCATTGTGCTTACCATCTGCTTCAAGAACAAGATGAATATCTTCAGGTCTTGCTCCATGATCTTTAAAGTGCCTTCGAATGTCACCAGGAGTTGCATTTAATGGAAGACGATCAACACGAAGAACTCCTGCATTTGTTCCTTTAAAAAAAAAGAGAAAATAAATTTAATATTTTAGTTTGAAAAATATATTTCTGAAATAAATTTGAAAAAATTACATTTTATTTTTGTTAATACATTAACCTCTTTGAGACTGAGGAGCCTTTTTAAGCAAATTAAGTGTTAAAATTTTAACACTTAATTTGCAATTGAGCATTTAAAAAATAATAATTTAATGAATTAACATAATAGTTCTGGAGCCCTAAAATTTATCATTTATAAACTTGCATTAAAAAGCCTTTTAACAGTTACTGTTTTACACATAATACTATAATACTAGTTCTTAAGTCTCACTATTTTTTTTCCTTATTAAAATTATTTACTTTTTATTATTTTATTGTTGCTAAGCTTTTTTGGAGCTTCAAAACTTAAATGTTCATTTAACCAGATAACTTTATTAAATTTTAATAAATTTTTGCTACAAGATCTTTATGCAAATTCATATTATCTTATCCTTTACTTATCTGATTTTAGTTTTTCATATATAACAATGATGCCTTTCTATAATGATTTTATATAATAATATACTTTCTGTTGAGGGTCAATGCCAAGTCAACCCTATGACAGACTCAATAACAGGTTTTACAAGATTTTACAAAACAACTTAACTAAAACCAAACAACTTAACTAAAACCATATCAGGCCCATAGCAACTGGGGGCATTTACATGCATTTTAAAAATCAATAATTAGTTTGCAAAACTATTTTCGGTTTAAGTATACTATACTCAATGAATAAAAATGCAATAAATCATACTAAAACCTATTTTAAGTTTTATTTCAGAGTGCATCGAAGTCCTATATTATTTTATAATGCATCACTATTTGAAAATGTATAATTTTAAGGGATTGACATATAGGGAGAATAATGTAAAAAAAAAGAACAGAACTGTTAAAGTGAGGAATAAATATCAACATACCTATTAACAAGTTTGATGTGATATGTAAAACTTGAACATTACAATCTGGGTAATTTTTTTTTTATTAATATCTAATTATACATGTTTTATATTTCATACTTCATATATCATATTTTAACTCAAAAAAAAATACACAGACACAAATACAAATTAACAGCATCAAAGAGTATACTTGGATATGCTTAGTCTTACCATTTCAAAACATGGCGGAATAATGAAATGCTTTTTTAAGATGTTTCATTATACATTAAGTCGAAATTAACTTATCTTTCTTTACTTTTATCTTTATTTTAGCGTGTTTTTAACATAAACTTAATGAATTCTTATGAATATTTTTTTTTTGAATTTAGTCATTTGTTCTTTAAACAATTTAAATGTTATCCTCATTTAAAAACATAAACATACACTTAAGTAATTATGCACTTTGTTACAAATTACGAGTTATAAAATTTGTGACTTTAGTTTAATTAAACTAGAAATGAATTATCCGCTATTTAAAAAACTAATTTTGTTCTAATGCTAATAATAAATACATTTACAAAATAAAAATAATAGATTATGAACTTACTGGATTTCATTTTGCATACAATTTCAAAGAAAGAAAGAAAGTAGAACCGATCTCTTAATGCTCGAAACGTTTATGCTTGATTATATCACGTGATATCGGCCCGGTTAATTTTTGGTGTGGTAAAATCAATAATTTTCGGTGACGGGAAAATTTTATGTAACTTATCTTCGGTTACCGTTTGATAATATGCTTTGTGACGTTATTTATATATATATATATATATATATATATATATTATATATATATATATATATATATATATATATATATATATATATATATATATATATATATATATATATATATATATATATATATACATTAGGGTAGGTCGTACTTTTAAAACTTTGGATATGGGAGCGTACAATATTTTTTTCTATGTATTAGGATATTAGAAGAGACGTGAATGATTTTTTATTATTATTAAAAAGTTCATATATATCTATATATATATCTATATATATATATATATATATATATATATATATATATATATATATATATATATATATATATATATATATATATATATATATACATCAAAATAAAACATAATTTTGGGTGCTACTATTCATAAAGTCATTCAAAAACATATACATAAGTATACTGTGTTTGCTTTAGGACATTTGAAGAGGAAAAAAAATTATTTGCTTTATAGATAATAAATAAGATTCCTACAATAATTCACAAACTTTCTAAAGAATTAAAAATTTATGGTCCTAAATAAAATGTCATCTAAAATATACAATATATTTAAAGCTCAACTTAATTACTGAGATCATAAATCAAAACAACAACAAAATTGCTTAAATTAGTTTAAATAGATCTTTTTTTGATTTTTATTAAAATTAATAGTTTGATTTCTCAATGTGCAAATGTTGCTCTGATGAACCCATCTCTTATATCTTTTCCAAATACCGATTGAAAAGCTCTTGTGACTTCTTGGACACATTGTTCAATAGCTTGTCCATGAACAGAAAAACAAGGTACATACATCGGAATATCATTGTATTTTAAAAGTTCATCCTTTGACGCTAGACATGTAAGTAAAGGTCCATGTACATCCAAACTCCAATCAATTGGATCAAAAAGTGGTTCAGCATTTTCATTATGTATATGATGTTTTCTACTTCTTATATTAGTGTTTCCGTATTATAAATCTCCTCTTAGTTTTAAAATTGCTTTAATTGCAAATTGTATTTCTGTTTTTCCTAGACTACATAACAATGCTTGAAGAATATCTTTACTATGAGCATTCCATGAAGAAGATAAAACATAGGACATTGCAATGTCTTTAAATTTAAGTCTTTGATAACAAAAAAGTTTTAATTGCTTGAGTATATGGTTAAGCCCTTTAGTCCACTTAACTTTACTTTGATTTCAAACCTAAGTGGCGCATAAACTCCAACAATAAACTGCACCAGAAGTTGAAGATTAACAACTGAAATACAATTTCAATGCATTAAATTAAACATATTTTATTTGAGAAATTTTACCATCTTGCATGCGAATGTGGCCTAATTTCTTTACCTTTAAAAGTTTCCGGAAAAACCCCAGCCGTAATTGCATGGGTAATTTGATAAAGATACTTTTGATCATCTGATAGCAATTTTACATCTTCAGAGTCAAGTTCTATTATTGCAATAGGAAATTCAATACTTATTTTTCTTTGACTTTGAAACTAGTTGCCTTAACTATAAGTTTTCCAATAGAACCAGAAAAGTTATTTTTGGATGCGGTTTTTCCGTCAAGTTGAATCATAAGATCTTGAAGAGGTAGCTCATTTGTATGAAGAGGTAGTTCATTTGTATTGAAGACAAACTATCCACATTAGTTTTTTATCCAATTTATATTCAAGGTAGTGGATAACATCTCCTTTCCAACCAGTGTTTAAATTTGTTGATTCTGCACCAATGGCAACTAAATAGTCTCCAACATCATGATTCACAATCCATTCGTAATGATGATCAGCTTTTTGATCAGCTGCAGTCTCTCTTCAGATGATCTCTGTACTCTTTCTTCAGAATTGTAAGTGAAATGAAATTGGTTTTTTCTGCAGGTTTAGAACAAACTGAATATTATTCTTCTTTTTTTTCCGATGGATGTAACTTTCCATCTTCTTCCTCTCATGTACTAAGTTAAATCTTTTCGTCCATCAAAAAATATACATCGAATATTATTATTTATTGCTACTTTTCAGCTCTACCTCGGATTTCTTTTAATAACTTAGTCTTAACTCGTTTTATTTTGTTGTGATCAACAAAAATACCAATATTTTTCTTTAAAAATTTGCATCTTTTGCAGAAGCTAAAGTAGCAGTAGCTATGGCTGCTGCAGCTCTGTTAAATACCTCATACCTAACAGCTGCTTCAGAAACCCTGGTAATATCTAAGTATTTTTTTTTTTCAAACTGAAGTCAGCTTTTTCTGTATTATTTGCTTTTTCGTTGCCAATGAATCGTCTGTTTTTGAAGTTCTACTGCTAAAGGAGAAAATAAATTATGTTAAATAACTTTAATGAAAATAATTTATACTCAATTTATACTCAATTTTTTAATTCACATTTTAAACAAAAGTTGTCAAATTTTTTTTTAATATTTTAGCATTTACTTATATCCTCACTATTTGCTCCAGGTATTTTTGGATCTGATTCATTTCTACCCAAACATCTTGTTAACCTATGTGTTTTTGATATATCAACTAATCCTATTTGTAAATAACTTTTGTTACCAATTTTTTTTCTTTGAGCTTGTAGGAAAAATAGTTCTTGCAAAGGTATCTTTGCTACTTTTGGACATATGCAAGTTACATGAGCTTTAAAGATACAACCATATATAGCCATTGCATCCATTTTTATTACAGCATAAGATTTTGCACTTACATTTTGTCAAGTCAAATAACTTATTAAGTTTGTCCGTATACATATTTCTTTATTTCGTAGTTCTCAATTTTTCAATGTCTTTAGCAATGTTCCATTCAAGGACAAGTTTATCGACTGCATATTTTTCTGAGACCAACGGGATTGTAGAATTTGCTGACATCCAAATACTTTTAATTTTAATAAATATTTGTATACATATACATCTTGTATTCAAATGTGCAACTGAAAGGCAAAAAGCATTTTAATTTAATTTGGTAACTTGTAATTTGGAACCAATAAAAAAACAACTAAAGCTAAAGAATTAGAAAAATGGTATCAAATATAACTTCAGCAAGCGTAGGAACTTAATGACTAATTTGTATCCCCTCAAGAAACTTTGACTTGTATAAAACGAGAAATAGCAGTACTTGAATGCACTAGAAAAAAGCCAAGCTCTATAGAAAAGGTTTACAATGCCATGCTAAGCCTTCCCCTAACTTCTATAGAAGCAGAAAGAAGTATTAGTTCTGCTGTCTTATTTGTTACTAAATTAAAAACTATTCAGAGGGCACATAATTTCGTAAGACGCCATTGCCCGCTATGGTACAACATCTTATAGACAAGACAAGTTTGCAAGACGTGTTTAAGACGTCCAATGAACGTTCTGTACGCACTGGATGGTTTGAATGATGGTGAATGATTGGGGCTTGAATGTTGGTACTGTTAGAACTTAATATATATTGCTTAAATATAAATGCTTTATTTTCATTAAAAAAAATATTTTTTTAAATAACTTCGATAAAAAAAATAATTCTTTTATATTAAAAATTGTCTTGAAAATACTTAATACTAAATATTGTTAAATACTATTTTTACTATATTTTTTTATGCAATTGGTTGATAAAAAAAGTGTCGTTTTACACGCCATATCTACTAATTAATATTACATTAAAATGTTGCATATTGCAGTATTTATATTATACAAAATGTAAAGTTCTTCATGCATAAATCTATAGCGACTGAATATTGTTAAATTTACAAAACATTTTGAAGTTAAATTGATTAAACGTTAAATTGTTCTTGAATTCAGTTTTGATTATTATTTATTTCAACTAAATACATTTTAATTATAAATATGAGCGGTTGTCTTTTCTTTTTAAATAAACGCCTTTTCTTAATAAAACAATGCACGTCGGGTTATTCTTTATCAAATTTTTTAATTTATCGAAATCTGTTTGTCAACATTTCTTATAACAACCGTGGGAGATAAACAAAAACTGGTTTAACCAAATAAGAAATTAATTGAACACAGTTTTACCAAACAAGAACATGATTTAACACAGTTTTACTAAATAAGAACATTATTAAAAACAATTTAATTAAAAAGAACATGGTTAATTAAACAGAAATAATTTATTATAATGATTCTAATTTATAGTTTCAATTTAACTAGTTTTGAATTTTGTATTTTTATTAAGTTACAATGCCTTTCAGCTTAAGTTACTTTTATTACAAGTTACTTATTTGGTTTTTTTAGCTCAAAGTTTTTAAAAAATCATCAAAGTTTTTGATGATTTTTCAAAAAATTTGAGCTGCGACAAATTCAATGCAAGTTTTGCCATGAGTAAAACCCAGAATTCAGAATAAAAAAGCGGGCTGCAGAATAGCTATTGTATTTTAAACTTTAGTTACTTGTGTTATTGAAATGTTTACTGAAAAAAAAATAATTTGTATTTTTAAAAACATAGTTAATAAAAAACCATTATGCTTATGAAAAGCCTCTCTTTCATGAAGATTGCTAATATTTATGAGTTCAATGTTCTTTGTTTTATGTTACAATCAACCAATGTCTTTTAGCAATTTATATTTGTGTAAAAAAACAAACGAAAAACAAATATTTATTACGAAAATAAAATTTTTTTATATAACTAACAAAATTTAAATTAAATCTTTGCAAATATATATATTTTTTTTTTGGCAATTTAAACTCAAAACCAGTTTATATGAATTTGTTATGGATTTAAGTTTTTTTAGTATTTGGCTTTGCAATAAACATGAATTTGTTCACCATCAACTTCATGTTTATTGCAACATCCAAACTTGTGATTGAAGATTCTTTATTCACTCCTTTGCTAAAAAAATTTCCTGTGCTAAAAAAATGGAGATACCCATGATGAAGAAAGTGTCTATAAGTCAAATAAAACTGCAATTATTAATTAAATATATTAACTCGTATCCCAATAACGAACCAAAACAAAGAGTTCTATGGAAGCTGCTCTAC